CTGAAAATCAGTGTAAAATTACCCTTGGCCATAGTAGTATAGTTCTGTTATTGTAAACCGCTCCCCCCCAAATGTCCTGGTACGGTCGAGAGTGGATAGAGTTTGTTCTGTCTCTCTCTCCAAATGCTTTCGTACGATCATGTGTATATATCTACTGCCATGGAAGTTCTACTCACTGCCTTCTCGTGCCAAGGATGTTGTTAATAAAATTTACAGGATGAAATCCTAGTGTCTGGTGTTTTGACCGGGTTGGTTGGTACGGGTATGATTCCAAACCAACAGTACACATAGGCTACTGGATTCTGACAGAAAGATTGACGTATGGATCAGTTATTAGTAGTCACTGGCTACCATGGGACTGTATCTCACTACGTTACTGCACTCACTGGCTTGAGAGTTAGACTATACTAACAATTACATCAAAGTTAAGATTTTTTAGTCTGTTTAATTGTTAACTCTTCCAACAAATTGTGACTGAGAATTATTAGCCAGTAAAGGTAAATCATTATTTTCACTGACTTTTTGAGATCATTTTATTTTGGTTGGAATCCTAAACTATTCAGTCACTAGTCATCACAATTATTATAGATCAGTTTAGGTAATCGTGATCGTATTCTACAGTCCTACAACAACCGGTATCAGATTTCCATAAGAATGGTAATACAAAAGAAGTGGAGATGAGTATTCGGATAGGTTGTAACTGTTGGAATTAACCATGTTAAAATTGATCCTATTTACTTATTAAAGATATCAATAAATGGTTTGTACTGCATAACGAATTAATCGATGGATTTATGAACTCAATGACTAGATGATGTTGTGTTCATTGTTATTTCCAAACAGTACGAACAGAATCTTACCTGGAGTTTCATACTCCTCGATTTACAAACGGTCATCAAATTGATATCATTGCGGGATCAATATATAATTACCAAAAATATAACACAGGGAATAGTTACATTTACTTAATCATTCATTCATGTATCAAAAAAAGAAACACTGTAGAATCATGGTTACAAAATTATTGCATTACGATGTTGTGAAGATTGTTAAGTTACACATTTGACATCATGAATCGATCAGTGTTAGACTATCATTAGAAACCTGGAAGCACTAGATGGCCGCTTCGTCCTGTGCTCACTAGTGACTAGCTCCGTGAGGTATCTTCTCTGAGCTCTAGTGGAAAGTCGTGACCAGTGAAGTTCAACCAGTTTGAGTGTAGACAGTAACTACCGAAGACAGTGTACGAGGTTGAGCAACTCCGTGAATTGATCGAAAGTTAGACATTAATACCATTAGATACCGGCTCAGTGTTCCAGAGGTTAGGCATTCACGAGGTGTAGGAGTCGTAGATGCACACTGCCACTGATGAGTCTCATACCAGGACGAAAGGGCTGCCCAGTAATTTCAGGTTTCTAATGGTAGTCTACCATTGACCAATTCATGATTTCAAATTCAAAAATTATTCACAAACTAATTTCATTCACACAGAATTGTCAGGTTATACATTGAAAATTAAAATATAATAAATAGATCACAAACAATGTTGAACATACTTATACGCCTTAATTGATCATATTGTTCCCATTCACTCGGTGAACTTGGCATTGGTTCATCCGGTCTTAATGGAATAGTTCCATGAACCCAACAATAATCAGTTAAATATGAATTATAATTTTCACCAGTTGGTTTAACAGGTATATAACATGAGATGGAATTTAGAAAGTATTGTTTAGCCGATACAATTATACAAGCGATCAAGAATAATACTACCGTGAATAAACTTAATCGATCAGAGAAATCTTCAACTGCAACACGATTAGCATAGTTGTATTTAGCGAAAAGTTCAATGAAATCTTTAGCCACCATAGTTTTATTGTTGTGATAGTAGTATGCAACTTTTCATAAAAAAAAATTGTTGTTGTTGTTTGCCCTCACACAAACTGATCATACAACGAAATGATCAAGTCTACTATTATTACTACTATTACTACTACTTCTACCGTTATTACTTAGGCCAATGAACTGGTTGTAAAAATATGAAAACAGTGTGATTTGTGTGCCTGTATCCTGTGTGAAATTTGATGAGGCTGTATATTAGGTCATATCAATATGTTTGTATGTGTTTGTGAATAATTTATAATCAAATAAGTAGAGAGAAATCATTGAAAAACTTAACTTTATTACATTGCAATTGGTTTATGGATGATGGTCTGTTGTGTGTTTATGTATACAAGTGAGTCAAATGGTGATTACAACTTCCTTTTGAAAAAACACATAATATATTCATCCAATTGTAATTGAATGATGGAGATTTAGTGTCAAAGTATTATCTACTTTCATCCCCTATCTAATCAGTCAACAAATGATGATATTGATATCATGTACTCGCCTCGATTGAGCCACCGATACAACCCTGGGGACATTGAGCAGATGTCTCGTCCTAGTATGAGAATTCTCAGCGATGCACATCCACAACCCGACCGTAGCTGCTACATTGAAGTGGTGGTCGGTCTTGACTATCGTGATGACCCAGCCGAGCTATACTGGCTAGAACATATGTTCCTGAAGGTTCTACCATGCCAGGCAGGTCGATTGGAGAACGATCAGACTAAAAGCAGCTACTCAAGGTCTGAGGGCGAAGTCGTACTGCTGACTGCAGAGAGGTATGACAACAGTAAGGTGTTTCTCTCGGACAACCAGCATCTGCAACGATGCTGCCTTCTCACAAGGAAGGAAGGGTCAGAAAAGTTCGACCCTAAAAATGTCACACCTCACCCTACCTCACGAATTTCCGTCTCCGGTGGTAAGCGTGCCCATTAAGTGCTTTTAATAGCGGAGCTAGTACTCAAAAAACCCTTCATAAAAAGGCCGTGCGTGACCGGCCTTTGGGCTCTGCGGTCACGCTCCCAGGTCTCCGAGACCAACATTAATCTATTTTCCTTTTCAGGTCCCTCATGAAACAACCTTCCACGGTGTGGGCAGCCGGGAAGTGACAACCGCCCTCATACCCGTAACAGCACGAGAGACCAAATTGGTCGAAATCAAATCCTTCCTACACCCACACATACCTCTAACTGACTGAACCCCGTGTGCAGTAATCGAACCCAGGACCTTAGATATCAGCCACATGCTAACACCTAGCATCTAGGCTGTTGAGTCTAATTTCGATTCATGCATGATGTTGCAGAACCTTCATCCATTGCCTGCAGCGGATAACTGTCTTCTACTCGACACGGATCACACTCCTCTGGTGACAGCTTCTCACTCTAACTCCAGGAATTCATCTTAAAGCTAGTCACTAATAAGCACGTGTTTATGTTTGTTGAAGTGAATTTATGGATAGTTTATTATTTCCATAGCTGAAATCATTAAGACCCTGGATTCGATTTTCCTGGAGGACGGTCGTGAATGCACACAGTTGATGAGTCCCATACTAAGACAAAACGGCCATTCGTAAATAGATAATATCATGTAGGAAATAAGAATGAATTCAAGCAAACAAAAAGTTTAAGATAACTTTACAACTCAAAATCCAAGGAATAATGGGCAATGAATACATATTTGTGCCATGGTTACCGACTGTAAACTAATACAGATGAATTAAGATAAAACTCACTGTACACGATACAGTCTCTGTCTGGACTCAATAGCTTAGTGGATAATGCAATAGAGTTTCAAGGAAACACTATTGGATGCGAGATCGGAAGTAATCATCAACTTTGGAATGCCGGTACATCCAGCTGAATAGCCTCGGATGGGACGAAATGAACGTCCTGGATTTCACCAGTAGCCTCCACAACCCATCTATTCCATATCAAATTATGTCATAAAGCTATTTCAAGACAATCCACGCAGAATACCAATATCGATACCAAGATTGATCAAATTTCAGTCTGGAGATTGACAAGTTTCATTAAAATCAAGAATCAATCAATGTTAGACCGCCTTTAGAAATCTAGGAGCACTTGACGACCATTTTGTCTTAGTATGGGACTCATCAGTATTGCCTACCAACGACCCCCTCCAGTGGGAATCGAAACCAGGCCCTTCGGCCTCTAAACTGCTGATCTGGCATCTAAAGGTGTTAATGTTTAGCTTTTATCGATCTAAGGATTTTGCGCGACCTCATCCATTGTCTTCAGCTGGTACTACCTACACCCGACACTGTTGAACTCCACTGGTCGCTGCTTCTCACTAGCACTTCAAGACTTTCCTCACGAAGCCAGTCATTAGTGAGTACATTTTATGCTTTTTCATTATAGAACTATGGAGATTATTGTTTTACATTAAAATCGTAGATGAGTACTGCTGAACAATCCAACACTAGAACGAAACTACCATTCAGTCTTTCCACGTTTCTAAAAGTGGTAAAACAGGGACTAATTCCCTAGTTCAATATTCCTAATCATTTCAAATCATTAAACAACTTAATAATTATTATCAGCATCATCATCATCATCATAAATAATGAATATTGATGTATAATAACATTGTACTGTGAGTAGATCTCAACTTAGATTTCATATTAAAATCAATAATTCTTCATTCAAATGATTTTCAACAGAAAAAATATCTATATATTACTGTTTACATAATCAATCAACTATCCATCGTGAAATCTAATCTTCTCCAATACTTAAACCATATCAATTATCAATGATTATCAATTCTTGTTAATCAATATTATCGTTTATTTCATAAAACAATCAAGATACTATTTATTCACTTATCTTTTCTCTTCTCTCTCTCTGTTGACAAGTTATCCAATGAAATATATATGTATACATATATGCACATACTCATAGATAGGTAGTATATCTATGTAGTTAGAGAGAGAGAGAGAGAGAGATAAGTAAATGAAAATTTTCAACTAAATGAAGAAAACTGTAATAAGAAAAAAATTAGAATAAAGAAGAAGAAGAAAGAGTAAATGTGTTCTCTTTTCTCTGTATCTAGAAAAATTCTCGTCCTTAAGTAACCTGTTCACTTACAGTAATATGATTATTATAACTAGAACCAATACTACTACTACTACTACTACTACTACTACTCACACTACTACTACTACTACTACTACTCACACTACTACTACTACTACTACTACTACTACTACTACTCACACTACTACCACTACTACTACTACTCACACTACTACTACTACTACTACTACTACTACTACTCACACTACTACTACTACTACTCACACTACTACCACTACTACTACTACTCACACTACTACTACTACTACTACTACTCACACTACTACCACTACTACTACTACTACTACTACTCACACTACTACTACTACTACTACTACTACTACTACTACTACTCACACTACTACTACTACTACTACTACTACTACTACTACTCACACTACTACCACTACTACTACTACTCACACTACTACTACTACTACTACTACTACTACTACTCACACTACTACTACTACTACTCACACTACTACCACTACTACTACTACTCACACTACTACTACTACTACTACTACTCACACTACTACCACTACTACTACTACTCACACTACTACTACTACTACTACTCACACTACTACTACTACTACTACTCACACTACTACTACTACTACTACTACTACTGCTACTACTACTACTACTACTGATAATAATAATAATAATAATTAGAATATTGAGTAAATGAGTTATTGGTTAGCCAGAGATGATTAGTATTTTGTGAATTACGTCAAAGTTATGAAGATAACAAAAAGAACAGTAAGAGAGAAATCTATAAAAAATGTGTTCTCTACAGTTCTGTTCTGTTCTGTTATTAAAAGACATGCAATAGCTCACTGAAGTGAGTAAGTAAGTAAGTAAGTAAGTAAGTGAAATTTGATTTCATGTTTCATGTTCATACAATAAATGTCCCTATTTTAACCTTGAAACAGACAAGAAAGTAAATGAAATGCGTATTTTCTCGCTCACTCGCTCACTCACTCACTCTCTCTCTCAGTCGTTGATGTTTAAAACAAAAGAGAATGAATGATTATAGAAGAATTTCAGGCAAGTAGGTGAATGCTTTTACACAAAAAATGGAATAGATTGAAAAAAAAGATTAGCATTCTATCTTGTAGTGTGTGTGTGTGTGATCAGTTGACACAAAGTAAATGAACTTAATAATTATTTGGCATAGATTTACAATCACACCTATGATATATTTAGTTATCATAACACTATTTCATCAATGAATCAATAATAACCAAGTTGAGATAATTAGCACTTGTAGTTTTCAAATATAATAGAATCATATCGGGTTTGTACCGGTAACATAATTAGTACATTTCAAGAACACATATCATCATCATCATCATCATCATCATCATCATCATCATCATCATCATCATCATCATCATCATCATCATCATCATCATCATCATCATCATCATCATCATCATCATCATCATCATCATCATCATCATCATCATCATCATCATCATCATCATCATCATCATCATCATCATCATCATCATCATCATCATCATCATCATCATCATCATCATCATCATCATCATCATCATCATCATCATCATCATCATCATCATCATCATCATCATCATCATCATCATCATCATCATCATCATCATCATCATCATCATCATCATCATCATCATCATCATCATCATCAGCATCATCATCATCATCATCATCATCATCATCATCATCATCATCATCATCATCATCATCATCATCATGATCATCATCATCATCATCATCATCATCATCATCATCATCATCATCATCATCATCATCATCATCATCATCATCATCATCATCATCATCATCATCATCATCATCATCATCATCATCATCATCATCATCATCATCATCATCATCATCATCATCATCATCATCATCATCATCATCATCATCATCATCATCATCATCATCATCATCATCATCATCATCATCATCATCATCATCATCATCATCATCATCATCATCATCATCATCATCATCATCATCATCATCATCATCATCATCATCATCATCATCATCATCATCATCATCATCATCATCATCATCATCATCATCATCATCATCATCATCATCATCATCATCATCATCATCATCATCATCATCATCATCATCATCATCATCATCATCATCATCATCATCATCATCATCATCATCATCATCATCATCATCATCATCATCATCATCATCATCATCATCATCATCATCATCATCATCATCATCATCATCATCATCATCATCATCATCATCATCATCATCATCATCATCATCATCATCATCATCATCATCATCATCATCATCATCATCATCATCATCATCATCATCATCATCATCATCATCATCATCATCATCATCATCATCATCATCATCATCATCATCATCATCATCATCATCATCATCATCATCATCATCATCATCATCATCATCATCATCATCATCATCATCATCATCATCATCATCATCATCATCATCATCATCATCATCATCATCATCATCATCATCATCATCATCATCATCATCATCATCATCATCATCATCATCATCATCATCATCATCATCATCATCATCATCATCATCATCATCATCATCATCATCATCATCATCATCATCATCATCATCATCATCATCATCATCATCATCATCATCATCATCATCATCATCATCATCATCATCATCATCATCATCATCATCATCATCATCATCATCATCATCATCATCATCATCATCATCATCATCATCATCATCATCATCATCATCATCATCATCATCATCATCATCATCATCATCATCATCATCATCATCATCATCATCATCATCATCATCATCATCATCATCATCATCATCATCATCATCATCATCATCATCATCATCATCATCATCATCATCATCATCATCATCATCATCATCATCATCATCATCATCATCATATCATCATCATCATCATCATCATCATCATCATCATCATCATCATCATCATCATCATCATCATCATCATCATCATCATCATCATCATCATCATCATCATCATCATCATCATCATCATCATCATCATCATCATCATCATCATCATCATCATCATCATCATCATCATCATCATCATCATCATCATCATCATCATCATCATCATCATCATCATCATCATCATCATCATCATCATCATCATCATCATCATCATCATCATCATCATCATCATCATCATCATCATCATCATCATCATCATCATCATCATCATCATCATCATCATCATCATCATCATCATCATCATCATCATCATCATCATCATCATCATCATCATCATCATCATCATCATCATCATCCAGCTTCATGGCGTGAGATGTTCCTTAGCTATTCAGGCCTTGACTAACCTTTTTATAGAATGGATATATTAAGCGTTCATTAATCAATGTTATATTTGTCAACTCCATCTAACATTCCAACATTATACACACGATGTCAGTTTACTTAGACTTTGATGCTTAAATTGCATTTGGATCGATGAAAATCGATCAAACATAGACTACTAAACAAACAAGATATTGATCAATACTCTGCATTCAATTAATTGTGAATAAATTTATATGACTGTAGATCTATTTGTCTACACTCACTGACCAGTCATGACTTAGGATCGAAATGATGAGATAATTATTAAAAATAGTCAGATATACAGTTATGATAAGACAGTCCTACGTGAGGTTGGCTTTCTGGGCTCTGGATTATCTTTGACTGTAGGGCAAACTAAGGAGGTTTCAAGTTTCATTGGAAGCATCAAGTTCATTTAGGTTATACGCGTATGTCTTGTTGATGAATATCTAGTAGCATGAAACATGGCTGTAACCTTACCTTAACACATCCTACTATTAAACTATGATATTTTATCTCATAAAATTTAGAGATAAAGCAGTAATTAAGTTATTGACATTTGTAATCATAAAATGGTTAGTATTATAGTAAATTATCAACAGTTTCAAATTCATACTTATGATAGAAATTTAAAAGACGATATTAGACATCAGTATCAACTAGGGGGACTTGATCAAATTGTTAAAAATATAAGTTATGGTTATGAAAGTTGAATTTATGTAAAGTGTGTACGTGTTTAGTAGTGTAATAGGATTAGTTTACGTCTAGAACTGACAGATGAATAATTATTTATAACCTATATATATATATATATATATATATATATATATATATATATATATATATATATATATATATATATACTAAACAGCTGTTTCATCTGAGAATAAAAGGTTTCAGTAGTAAGTATCCACCATCTTTCCATAAGACCTTCAAGTTTTACTGAGAACCTTTTACCTTCTGACAACTGAGTCAATAATCATTGATTTTCATTTCTAACTTACATCGATTCACAATTTTACGTAATCATCTTTCAATACTATTGATAGGTAGTTTGAACTCTATTGAACACAGCTTCCTGTAAGAACTCTAAGAATTGACTTTCGAAATATATCACTAACAGGTACATACTAAGGATTTGTGGAGATTGTTAAGTTTCATAGTTTTCAGTTTCATTTCAACAGTCTGATTATAGAATTTTATTTGAAAGGTACGCCAAAAATAATTAATGACACAGAGAAACAATTATATTCATCAATAAAAACATATTAATATAATGTTAGATCGAAATGATTGCGTTTTCTAGATCATTTGATTATCAAATTCGTCTGATGATAGTACTGAAAAAAAAACAAGCCTTTAATCTAACTAAGCTTATTAGATTCATACAAATTACATCATGTAGACAATTTACTATGTATAGATTGTTTCAGTAGCTCAGCGTTGAGTGAATAACACCATACTTCATAAGTGAGGTACAAGGGTTAGCTAGAGATACAGAATAAATATCAACCTCTGTTCATGTCTAGTAGTCATCAGTTTAACTATGCTTTAAAGAAAACATACATGACTTCTGCACCGATCATGAATAAATTTACTTAAACAACTCAATGAAATTCATTTAAATATTTGCATTTTCTTTGCTTTTTATTAAAAATTTATAAAATAACTGAAAGAAATCTATAAATTACAATCACATTCTAATGATTATTCATTTGAGAAATTTAATGGAGTTTAAATAATGCACTTGAACAAAAATACAACTTAATTTGTTCATTGTGATAATCAAAAAGATCGCCTACATCTTATTCAAATGTCTTAGAATTATTTACAATTAGATAATAGTTTTGTAGAAATCATGAACTGATGAGTGTTAGACTATCATTAGAAACCTGAAAGCACTGGACGGCTATGAAGAAATTTCTCTAAGTTCTAGTGAGAAGTTGTGACTAGTGGAGTTCAACCATATCGAGTGCGAAGCAGTGCCCACCGAAGACGATGGATGAAGCAGCGCAAGACGGCGGATTGACATTACCAGTGTCGGATGCCCGTTCAACGGTCTAGAAGCTAATCAAGTGCGCGCAAAACCGAAGGTTTGATCCCCACCGGGGGAGGGTTATGGTTGTGCTTTGCTGATCAGTCTCATAATAGGATAAGATGGTCATCCAGTGCTTCCAGGTTACTAATGTTAGTCTAACATTGGTTGATTCATGATTTCAATGAAACTCAACGATCTTTACAACCTTATAGTAAATTAATGAGGCATTAAAATCTATGAAAATGAATTGATAAGAAATGAAATGAAAAAATGCACAATGAATAAATAACTTCTTTTGATAAACTTGAATAGAACAAAAATTCATCAATCTATTTGAAAACTTTTCATGAATTGAATTCAACTGAAATTTTATGACGAGTGATATATAGGTTAAAGTTAAAAGTTGGGCATAATTTAAATTAGTTGATTACTTATCAAATTCAAAACTCTTTTATTTTGAATGAATTCCTTAAAAAGAAATCAATTAATCTTGAATATAGTGAAAAATTTCATCATCATCATCTTATCGATTTTGTTAATATTATCTTATTAATATTGAACTTTGAGATGTACTGATAATGAGATATAGTAAAAGAGAGAGAAGAGATAGCCCTCCGGTCGCCATTAGATTAATTCCAAACGACCTCTTTTTGACTCAGCTGGTCAGCTAACTTTGTTTTTTAAGAGGTATTTCAATAAAATATTAATAATAATAAGTGATGAGAAGTCTGATATCTAAGATTAATCATTTTAGAACAACCATTGAAAACCAGAGAGAACTGGATAGGTGTTTCTTTTTGGTATGGGACTTTTATCAGTGTAGATCGCGAATCGATCTAAAGATTAGACCTAGAACCATCTGAGTTTACAGTGGGTGGTTGACCATTTACATCACTTTTGGGGATGTTAGATCCTCAGAACTCGCTTGATAAATATCTTTATTTTGGATTTATTTTATGGACCGATCAGTTGACCTTGAGATCAGATTTCCCACCAGGAAAATCTTTGGCTGTGATTGGTTACTGTGTTATTTTAGTGTGCTATTTTTGTGACTGTTCCAAGGACGTCTCTATGGAGTAGAACAATAAACGCGATTTGAGTGCTTGGATTCATTGTGTGCTCGCTGGGTGTTTGCAGAATACACTTTCTACGTTATATCAAGACTATTTGCTGGTACAGTTGGGACAGTTGGATCACAGTAGCCTACTTGGACGCTGGTTCATTGTTTTGTTCTCGTTATTTGACTGAGGTGAGCCGGTAATAGTTTAAGCATACCTAGAGAGGAGTATAACAATCACTGAGACAGAATTAAATGATTCATATGTCCAACTGAATATTTATTACCTAATACTTTAGTCAATTAAATTGACATAGGTTTGTGTATCAGAAAAGTAAGGCATAAAAACTAACATGAATACATTTCAAGTGAGACTGATGCAATATTTATATAACCGGGACCAAAATTAATTGTATTCACTACAAATATTAGTTATTACATTGCATGAAAACAACCAAATAAAGTTTGCTCAAAATGTACTTATATATTCAATAAAAGTTGATCGATTAAAACAAATTAAAAAAAACCCGCATTAATTAAAGTACAACCATCTTTATTTACAAAATCATATTATTGGTTATAAATTTAATCTATTTATGGCTAATAATGCATCATAGATTTGAAATTGAACAATTAACTCTTCTAGTTCATTAAAACACATTGTTTTTTCTTTTCACTATAACCAAAACTATATACATTGAATTAACTTATTTTTTGTTTAAGGTAAAACAGAATAAAATCGATCAACTGAAACTCACTAATTCTTCTATGCATATCATATTCTTTCCATTGAGCATCAGTTTCCGGTAGTGGTTCATTACTTCTCAATGGAATTGTACCATGTACCCAACAATAATTCACTAAAAAAGTATCAAATCCTGTACCCGATGGTGAAACTGATACATAACATGAGATTGCGCCTAAAACATATTGTTTCGCTGTTACAACTAATGTAGCAATTAAAAATAGTATAGTAGTGAAAAAATTTAAACGATCACCAAAATCTTCAATACCAGTTGATGCTGGAAGTTGGATAGTTGTAAAGAAATTGATAAATTCTTGAGCAACCATATTTTAATATCTGTTGATATATTTCCTATTTTAATATGTGTGAGATAATTCACGACGACACTCAGTGTATTTCACAGTTTTAATGGTTATACTTTTTGTTGTTGTTGTTGTTGAATAATAATTCAACGAAGATGAGATTTTTCTTGTTTGTTTGTTTGTTAATCGATTAGTTAAACAGAGAAAACTAAAAAATTGAATCGCTTTCCACTTGTAGACATGTAAAAGAATTATGAACACAGAATAAATGATTTATAACAGTTTATTGCATCAGTGATTATGTGTAGATGAGAGTTGAGTGCACAAAAGGAATAACAGAGTAGTGTACAATCAACTTATTTTATTTGTGCTATACTCAGATAGCACACACATATATATATACCTATGTCTAAAGAGAAATAGAAATGATTAAGAACGAGAATGGTAACATGTTTGCATACCTTTTACAAGTTTACTTTTTTCTACACATCTATGCCATACTCATCATCTTGCGTGTATTGTTCTCTATGTATGTATGTATATACTACCACTACCACTACTAGTAAAGTTGACAAATATGCATTTAATTGTATGGTTGTATCAATGAAAATACACATACAAAAGTGTGCAAGCTAATTTTATGAGAAGCATTACAAATAGATTTGTTTCATATTTATAAGTACTATAGTTAGTAGTGAGCAAAAAAAAATATATAGTTACGGTGAAATATGACCTGAAATACATATATATATATATATATATATATATATATATATATATATATATATATAGGTATAGAAATTTGAAGATTAAACGGTGAAATGTCATATTATTAGTACAAAAAATAAAAAAAGATATCTATATTTCTTAGTTATATATATAGA